ATACTGAAAGGTGAGGCATTGGAATGGACAGAGCCCTCCGGCTCGACGTTTCGACGAAAACATGGTTCGGTATCGTTTGGGCAAACAGAGTCCGAACCTGAATAGTCATTGATTTCACGGGCAAGAGAACCGGAGACGGGATCAGAAACAGGGTCGATAGTGGAATCTAAGAAGAAAATACCTCGAGGAGTCAAGTCGGGGTAAGAGGATTCAAGGACTTGGAGAACTTCGGGATCCTCACAAAGCGTGCCCGAAAGCAACGCTTGATTGTACACAGCCCAATCGATACTGAAAGGTGAGGCATTGGAATGGACAGAGCCCTCCGGCTCGACGTTTCGACGAAAACATGGTTCGGTATCGTTTGGGCAAACAGAGTCCGAACCTGAATAGTCATTGATTTCACGGGCAAGAGAACCGGAGACGGGATCAGAAACAGGGTCGATAGTGGAATCTAAGAAGAAAAAGAGAGAACGGCAATCAAGAAAAATTATTAGAAGGCGTGATCGTGATTCGATTCAAAGAAGGGTCAACAAAATAACCGAGATAGCACAAGAAGCGTCTCGACAAGGGGAAGAAGAGGAGAAGAAACAAGAAAAAAACTCCCCATATCGATTCGACTTGACAAAAGAGTCGATCTCTCATAACAAGACGACTGGCAAGCGAAAACACCTAAGGGAGATAAAAGATCGGCAGCTAAAGATCTAACAAAGAAAAACCACTAGAATTCTCCAAGAATTCCCAGAAAATGTGATGAACATACAGGCCCCAAAGCATATAAAAAAAAGGAGAGAAATAAAAAAAAAAAGAGTTTCTTATCTTAAACACACCCGATAAATTAAAAAGCAAAGGAAACTTACTCATACTCATGGTGATCGACGAAGGAGTCCTGAAAGATCTGAGAACGTCGGAAAATGAAAGGAGTGCCGGAAAAGCTTGAGATGTTGTGTTTGCCGGAGAAAACAGAGAGCTCAGAGAAGATGAGTGCGAAAAGTGAAGACGAGAAAAGAGGAGGAGTATTTATAGAGAAGGCAGAGAAACCCTGACCCTCAGATTAAAGTCATATTCAACGGTTGAGATGGTGCACAGAATACGAAGCGGCGGAGAGATCAAATGTCTTATCAATGCTCAAAGACCCTATTTTTTGAATTTTGAAATTCAAAAAGATTCAGACTTATCTAATCAAATCAAAATTCATGGAGTAGACGATTCGTATTACAAGTCGAGGTAACGAGTGAGTGCGACCCAAGGTAACAACCGATGACGGGACACATGAAAAGATTCGAGGGAAACATTCAGTCGACACAATCTACTCGTAAGCTCAGAGTCTCTTCGAGTAATTTCGGGGGGGACTAGATGATATAGCCATACTGTCGTGTAACGGTTCAATACCATCGCGGTTCATAGATTACCGAGTCGACTTACGCGAAGTCGACTCTGTCCGCAGACTTTATGGTATCTCCGGTCAAGGATCCAGGCATCTCCCCAGTCGACTTCCACATGTCGACTAGCAAAAGTGGATTTCCTCTTGAAAGACGGTCAAACACGTGAGGATCTACTAACAATCGAATATGACCCAGTTGACTCGAGTCGACTGGATCAAGTCGACTGAGAAAGCTCTGGAAGCCCATAAATCCCGATAGCTCTAATACACTTCAGCATACCGAAGGGGCAACTAAGGATAAGGAAGGATCTAGAAGCTGACTAGGAAATGGACGGAATGCGAACCGACCAGGGTAGTTTGGACATTTCCAGTAAGTCGGCCGGGGCATTTTGGGGACTTGAGGTGAATGTTCCATTTCTATATAAAGGAGCTGAGGTAACTCCAAAACCCTAACTCCCATTCATTCCACATTCTCCCTTATTGCTGCTGCTTCCTCAGAGCAGCTCTTTTCACTCTTTTCACATACTGACTTGAGCGTCGGAGGCTCTACGCCGGAAATCCCTCCGGCATTGAGTTCTTGCAGGTGTTCTCGCGGCTCAACAACGGTTCGAAGGCCGTCGAATCAGATCTTAGCTCATTCATACCGGTTCATCCCAGATCCGAACGTTTTCTCATCGGGCCGTTCCAGATCTGAGAAGAGACCCATCAGCCACCATCTTTATGCATTTTGAATTTCCCACTTTTCTCCTTAGTCGAGTCCTTTTTCTTATGGCCCGACTCAGGTCCGCCCACGACTTTAAAATCAACAAGTTGTTCTGCAGCAGCAATAGCCGATGGCAGGTCGCTCACACCTTGCCTTCTTAACTCCGCTTGGGCCCAGCCTTGAAGACCGGCCATGAAGTTGAACAGATTGTCCTTCTCTGACATTTCAGAGATATCAAGCATGACAGAAGTGAATTCCGTCACATAATCCCGTACAACACCTGTATACCGTAAGTTACGCAGCGTGTTACGGGCAATCCAATCTGTGTTCCCCGGGAGAAACTGATCTTTCAACAGACCTTTCAATGTGTCCCACGTAGTGATCTCCTCGCGATTTGCACTGGCATAGTCAGACACCCGCGCCCGCCACCAAAGTTTCGCATCCCCGGCCAAGAACATGCTCGCTATTGAAACTTTCTGACCATCTGGGACTCCAGCAGCTTGGAAATATACTTCCATATCCCAAAGGAAATTCTCAACTTCCTTTGCATCACGAGAACTGTCAAAGGCTTTAGGATCAGTAACCCGGACTTTTGGTGGACCTTGTTGTTGTTCATTGAGAACATTTGCACCAACACGTTTCAGCAATGATATATCATCTTGTACCTTGCTAATCTTATCACTCACCGCATCAGACAGCAAATTGACTTCATTGTTAACGAAATCAATCCTTCCTTCAACAAATTTGGGTAAGGAGTCTACCGAACTTTTCAGGGCTTGCACCGTCACCCGCAGATCCTCGAGAATATCATTTGTTATTCGTAATTTCTAGAATAAGGTTGCTTGCAACGGTGTCTGAGGCGGTGGCCCCAACAGATCCTCCAATCTTTGTATCCGAGCACCATAGGACAATAATAGTTCTTCCCTTTGATTATGATCACCCATCATTTCAACTTGCAGTCCTCAGAACCCAAAAATGGGCTCTGATACCACTTGTCACAGAGTCTCAAAAGAGGCAAAAATTTTCGCACCCTTAATACCCTGTGCGGCCTGGTTTTTTGCCTAACCAGTCAGCCTTTCCCCTTCACACTAAACGCACAACTTGATTATATAAAGTCGGAATAGTGTTATAAGCAATACACCAACAAGCAACGAATACAGAAAGCATCAAGCAAACAGACAAGGCAACAATATTTACGGGCTCCACACCCAACCAACAATTTCACTATCGCTGGAAAAATTCGCCAAGGCATGCACACAAACTCGCGGTATCGCTCATTACCCGCGATTGTGCAGCTCAAGGCCTCTATATAGGCCCGCAGGCAAGTTGCGGTTGACATCCCCAACCGTTAGGGCAGGTAACCGTTGAGCAGTTTTAAAACTGCCCACATTCTAAGCCCACTACGCATAACCGTCCCCATAACGGTCCCAATGCGCGGACCATCAAATAAGCGCGCCACGTGTCCAATGTAACCGTCTTGTACACGCGTAGCCCATCTGATTTATTCTGCCATGCACACTTGAAGATTTCCCGCTTAGGCCACGTGGAACAAGATAACAGCATCCACGTGCAACCAACATGCATTCAAAATCATAACCGTTCCCGCCAACAATTTGAGCGTAGCGTCAACACTCGCGCGCCCATCAAGCCGCATCAGCAACCCGCATAGCTTAGAGTTAATCCCTCCCAACATAGTGCGAAGGCGCCGTACCGCCTTGCTACTTTGCCCGCACGTCTTTGCGTGGCCATGCACAACCCGCAAAGACTTGACTGATCCCATGCTCAGTCTACATTGACTCGGCCCTGCAACCTAGCATCCTCGCCAAGCTAGCCCGGAACCTTTTTCCCACGTCAATGTACTTGTTCCCTTATCCGACCCCGTGCACAAGTGCCCGAATTCTTGACCCTTGGCGCACATAAGGGGATGCGCCCGGGTCCAGCTCAATTCACGTCCGTAACAAACTTCCCCCGCCTGAGCTCGTCGACGCCCTCGTCGACTGGGGGTTCACCATCCTTCTTGCCTCATACTCCGCAATCTTATCAGTAAAATGCCATAGTTTTGTATTTCGAATCCAAGTAGCGTCCGACTCGGACTCACCCTTCCACTGGACAAGATAGTCTGCCCGCCAATTCTTCTTACTTTGGCCAAGGGTCCTATGATCCAAAATTTTCTCCATCTCCTTCGTGAAATGGTCCCGCACCGTAAGAGGAGCTCGAGTAGAGACATTTCGGCTTGCCTCAATCAAATCAGGATGGTACTTCTTCAAGTAAGATACATGAAATGTGGGATGTACCTTCAACCGGTCAGGCATCTTAAGCCGATAGGCCACATTCTCAACTTTTCTCACGATTTCAAAGGGACCCTCGTACTTTGGAATCAATCCATGATGGACTGCCTTTGCCGAGATCCTTTTCCATACCTTTGGGCTCACTTTTAACAACACGATATCCCCGACAGTGAATTGCACGTCCCGTCGCCCGCGGTCCGCATATTTCTTCATTATTCGCTGCGCCTTAGCAAGGCTATCTCGGGCCTCTACCAAGAGTTCGTGCTGCGCCCGAGCATATCGATATGCCGCGGGGCATTTCCCACCAGTCCGCTGTACCGCTACATCATGCGGTAGCTGGGGTTGCTGTCCATAAACCAGCTCAAAAGGGCTCATACCGGTAGCCGAGGACTTGTGCAAATTATAACAAAACTGGGCCATATCCAACAATTCCACCCAATTATCCTGGCTTGCGGTCACATAATGCCTGAGATATTCTTCAAGCAACTGATTCATCCGTTCAGTTTGGCCATCAGTTTGAGGATGATAGGCCGTGGAAAACTTCAGTTCGATCCCCATAAAATTGAACATGGTCGTCCAAAATCGTCCCGTGAAGCGCGGGTCACGATCGCTCACTATGTCATCGGGCATACCAAAATATTTCACCACATGCTTGAAAACTAACTCAGCAGCAAGGTCTGCCGGACATGCACCTGGAGCAGCAATAAATATCCCATACTTTGAAAATCGATCCACAATGACCAACACCGAGGCCATACCTTTCACCTTTGGAAACCCGCCAATGAAATCCAAAGATAGTGACTGAAAAGGCTTGTCCGGAATAGGCAAGGGTTGCAACAAGCCTGCCTCTTTCTTCTTTTCGGTTTTGTCTTGCTGGCAAACAAGGCACGTCCAGACATAGGACTCAACGTCATCCAGCATTTTCGGACAATAAAACTTTCGCATCATCAAAGAGTACATACGCTCAACACCGGGATGGCCAGCCCACTGAGAATCGTGATAATCTTTCAGAAGCTCGCGCCTCATTCCTCCCGATGGAATATACATCTTTCGACTTTTGGCATAGAGTAAGCCGTCCTCTAGCCAGTACCTGCGCACTTCACCGGCTGCCACTTGCTCGGCGAGTTTTACATAGACAGGATCTTTAAGGGATTCACCACGGACTTTCTCAACAAAGTCAGACTCAACAGCATACAAGGCCAACACATAGGACGCCGCAGCCTTTCGACTTAGAGCATCAGCAACATCATTATGTTTCCCCGGCCAATGGACCCAATCGAAATCAAACTCCCCCAAGAATTCTTGCCACCGTGCCTGTTTTGGGGACAACTTCTTCTGAGTTCGAAAATAAGTATTGGCTACATTGTACGTAACAACTGTGAACCTTGTTCCCAACAGATAGGGACGCCACATTTCCAAGCAATGAATTACCGCCGTCATTTCCTTCTCATGGGTACTGTATCGGGTCTCAGCATCCTTCAATTTCCGACTCTCAAAAGCAATAGGATGTTTGTCTTGGACCAACACCCCACCAATAGCACGATCTGAAGCATCGACTTGTACATCGAATGGCTGGTCGAACTTTGCCAACTTCAGTATCGGCTCTTGGGTCACAACTTGCTTCAGCAAATCAAAGGCAACTTGTTGAGCTTTGTCCCACTCCCAACACCTGTCCTTCTTCAGTAAATCCGTCAACGGGCTGACTACCTTGGAATACCCTTTAATGAATCTTCGGTAGTAGTTTACCAGCCCTAAGAAGGAGCGCAACTCGGTCACTTTGGATGGTTCGGGCCAATCAGCATACAACTTGTTTTCCCTCAATTTCTCAAGCACACATCGCAAGTGCTTCTTCTCATCAACCGTCTCAGAATAGATCACGATGTCATCCAAATATACGACCACAAATTTATCCAAGTACTCGTACAGCACATCATTCATCAAATTGCAAAACGTAGCAGGGGCATTGGTTAACCCGAAGGGCATCACCAAGAATTCAAACGACCCGTACCTTGTCACACAGGTGGTCTTTGCCTCATCGCCCAGGGCAATACGCACCTGCCAGTACCCAGAACGCAAATCAATTTTCGTGTACCACCTTGCTTGAGCCAGCTTGTCAAACAGGTCCAAGGCATTTGGAATTGGATACTTGTTTTTAATGGTAACATTGTTCAACGCCCGATAGTCCACGCACATGCGCATGACCCATCTTTCTTCCTTTGGAACAATACTGGGGAACCGTAAGGCGCCTTTGAAGGTTGTATCAATCCCGCACCAAGCAGCTCATCCAATTGCTTCCTCAATTCGGCCAGCTCGGCTGGTGGCATCCGATAAGGAGGTTGAGCAGGGGGCTGAGAACCTGGTTCCAATTCAATCCGATGGTCACAGGGTCTACGCGGAGGCAAATCCTTAGGCAACTCAGGGGGCATCGTATCCTTGAATTCATCAAGCACTTTACCAAAAATATCTGGTACTTCATAAAATACGTCTGGTTTGGTCTCAATCAAAGCCGCAAGGTACGTTGTGCGACCATGCCTAAGTCCATCGCGAACTTGCAAGGCCGACACCATGCTTGTATCTTTCTTTGGAACAACAAACTTGACAGCGAGAGGCTGCTCTCTCCCATCATCAACCAAGAACAGCTTGCCTTCGTGGGGTTTTGGGAAGACTTTCGCCTTCCTCATAAAGTCTATTCCGAGAATCATCGCAAAATCATCAAGAGGGACGATGTGCAACGCACACAATCCTTTCCAAGGCCCAACTTGCATCTCGACTTGGGCCACACCCTTAATCGGTTCACCTTGAGCATTCACCGTTTTCATCTTTCCCTCATGAGGCTCAACAGTAAGGCACAGCTTCCGAGCATACTCCTCGTTCACAAAGCTGTGGGTAGCACCGCAATCCACTAACGCCATAATATCTTTGTTCCTTATGGCTACCTTAGTGTACATCAAGCCATCACATGCAACAGGGACTTTCTGAACTTGGTTCAACAGCAGCATCGAGTTAAGGCCCATGGTACCTTCCTCAGTATCCTTGGTGGTGCCTTGCACCACCACAGCATTTGCTTTGGCATTTACACGTTTAGGACAATCCCGCATGCGGTGGTCACCATCACACAAGAAGCACCCGTGGTTTGAACGGTCCACAACCAAAGTTTGGTTCTTAGACTCTCGGGACTTATTCTCATTCTTTTCCCCCGCCTTCTTCTTGTATTTGCCACCATCTTTATGCTTTTTGAATTTCCCACTTTTCTCCTTAGTCGAGTCCTTTTTTTTATGGCCCGACTCAGGTCTGCCCACGACTTTAAAATCAACAAGTCGTTCTGCCGCAGCAATAGCCGAAGGCAGGTCGCTCACACTTTGACTTCTTAACTCCGCTTGGGCCCAGCCTTGAAGACCGGCCATGAAGTGAACAGTTTGTCCTTCTCTGACATTTCAGAGATATCAAGCATGACAGAAGTGAATTCCGTCACATAATCCCGTACAACACCTGTATGCCGTAAGTTACGCAGCGTGTTACGGGCAATCCAATCTGTGTTCCCTGGGAGAAACTGATATTTCAACAGACCTTTCAATGTGTCCCACGCAGTGATCTCCTCGCGATTTGCACTGGCATCGTCAGACACCCGCGCCCGCCACCAAAGTTTCGCATCCCCGGCCAAGAACATGCTCACTATTGAAACTTTCTGACCATCTAGGACTCCAGCAGCTTGGAAATATACTTCCATATCCCAAAGGAAATTCTCAACTTCCTTTGCATCACGAGAACCGTCAAAGGCTTTAGGATCAGGAACCCGGACTTTTGGTGGACCTTGCCGTTGTTCATTGAGAACATTTGCACCAACACGTTTCAGCATTGATATATCATCTTGTACCTTGCTAATCTTATCACTCACCGCATCAGACAGCAAACTGACTTCATCGTTAACAAAATCAGTCCTTCCTTCAACAAATTTGGGTAAGGAGTCTACCGAACTTTCCAGGGCTTGCACCGTCACCCGCAGATCCTCAAGAATATCGTTTATTGTTCGTAATTTCTCGAAGACGGTTGCTTGCAACAGTGTCTGAGGCGGTGGCCCCAACAGATCCTCCAATCTTTGTATCCGAGAACCATAGGACAATAATAGTTCTTCCCTTCGATTATGATCACCCATCATTTCAACTTGCAGTCCTCAGAACCCAAAAATGGGCTCTGATACCACTTGTCACATAGTCTCAAAAGAGGCTAAAATTTTCGCACCCTTAATACCCTGTGCGGCCTGGTTTTTCGCCTAACCAGTCAGCCTTTCCCCTTCACACTAAACGCAGAACTTGATTATATAAAGTCGGAATAATGTTATAAGCAATACACCAACAAGCAACGCATACAGAAAGCATCAAGCAAACAGACAAGGCAACAATATTTACGGGCTCCACGCCCAACAGACAATTTCACTATCGCTGGAAAAATTCGCCAAGGCATGCACACAAACTCGCGGTATCGCTCATTACCCGCGATTGTGCAGCTCAAGGCCTTTATATAGGCCCGCAGGCAAGTTGCGGTTGACATCCCCAACCGCTAAGACAGGTAACCGTCGAGCATTTTTAAAATTGCCCATATTCTAAGCCCACTATGCATAACCATCCCCATAACGGTCCCAATGCGCGGACCATCAAATAAGCGCGCCACGTATCCAATGTAACCGTCTTGTACACGCGTCGCCAATCTGATTTATTCTGCCATGCACACTTGAAGATTTCCCGCTTAGGCCACGTGGAACAAGATAACAGCATCCACGTGCAACCAACATGCATTCAAAATCATAACCGTTCCCGCCAACAGTTTGAGCGTCGCGCCAACACTCGCGCGCCCATCAAGTCGTATCAGCAACCCGCATAGCTTAGAGTTAATCCTGCCCAACATAGTGCGAAGGCGCCGTACCGCCTTGCTACTTTGCCCGCACGTCTTTGCGTGGCCATGCACAACCCGCAAAGACTTGACTGATCCCATGCTCAGTCTACATTGACTCGGCCCTGCAACCTAGCATCCTCGCCAAGCTAGCCCGGAACCTTTTTCCCACGTTAATGTATTTGTTCCATTATCCGACACCGTGCACAAGTGCCCGGTTTCTTGACCCTTGGCGCACATAAGGGAATGCGCCCGGGTCCAGCTCAACTCAGGTCCGTAACAGCCGCCCTGCATTGCCCGTGCGGTACTCGTTCATGCCAGCCAACGCCCATGCGTGCGTCTAGGTGCCCTGTCGCCTGCTGCGGCGCTCGGTAGCGCCCAGCCGCGCCAAGTGCCAGCGCCCATAGCGTTCGGCAGCGCCGCAGCCATGTCCGCGATGCGCCAGTCG